TAGTGCTTTATTGAAGTAAACTGCTGACACTGCAACACTAGCCAGACCCTGGGCAAGCCTCGAAAAGGCACTGTTTGTAGAAACACTTTCTAGAGTCAATCCAATTGTCCTTTAGTGTCCAGCAAGCCAAGGATTGGGTGTCAGTAAAAAGTGCTCAAGAAATAACATTTTAGAACATCTGAATGTGTGGTGTGCTGAGAGGTGCAGTAAGGGGAGGAAAATAATATCAGCGAATTAACTGTCATTACTAAAAGCATTGATATTAGTTGAGAATATTAAAGTCCATTAATGTAATAGAGTGTCAGTGCGTATTCAGGCATATTTGGTAACGCTGTAAGTGTATTATCATAATTTTAAAACCTTTTTCCATTAACACAAAATATAGAAAAATGCATCTCTATGTTCCAGGTGCTATGAATAACCTTAATGTCGACAACAACTTGTTAGGTAGGTGGTTTTCCCATTTCACAGATGAAACCATTTCAGAGGTGAAATGACTTACCACGTTCACATCTTTGTAAGTGCTAGTGCCAGGAGTTAACCCAGTCTTCTAACTCCACTCTGAGACTCTTGACATCAGCTCTTTAATCCAGACTCTGATTTCTGATAGAAGTCAGTCAATATAAGTTAATTTACAGTATTTAATAAGATTTAAATATTGTTGCATGTCAGGCAGGGTATGTCACATGGCCAAATGGAATCTTACCGATTTCTGAGCAGAATTTAAATCAGTTCCTTAACAGGGAAAATAAAAGAGTCGTGTTACAAGCATGTGGCAGCAAGCCTAGTGGTTTTCTTAGTTCTAAATCCAGCCCCCATTCCTCAAAGTCACCTATTTCTCTGTCACCTCAGTCCCTGCCACACACACTCCCATCTCACACAGAGACCCCACCTCCTTCCACGAGCTCTGGCTCTTGTAGCTCCTACCAAGACAAAGGACAAGGAGTGTTTGACTATACTCTTCATGCCTCTTTGAAAATAGTGCAAGTGCCATTTGGAAGATCTCCCTGCTTTAACCTCTTTCTCTTTACCAAGTGCTGTTAATATCTGCATCTTTGAGACATCTGCTACATCTCCTCCTCTTACCCCTTTCTGACCACTGCCACAACAATGTCAGGAGCTAAAACTTGATATTTTATTAGGTACTTGGTGCACTTTACATGTGTGATCTCATTTAAGCCTCACGTCAACTCTATGAGAAAGGTATTATTATTGCCCTTTTAAAGTGAGGAAAATGAAGCACAGAGGGACTAAGTAACTTACCCACTCCTACCACAGTCTGGGGGGTGGGGCAGGCCTGTCCTTAGTTGTTTTTTACCTATGTACAGGTCTCTGATTTCCTCAGACAGATCTTTATGACCACCAAGCACTCTTACAACAAGAATACTTAAAGATATGCTACACGTAGGGAAATTGTATGGCTGTGAATTTTTGAGTTTCAGTCATGCTCCTCAGGGACTTTATCTATTAATATAACATAAAAATATGAATAAACGTTTGGGGAAAACGGGAAAAATTTGTAAGCACTTTCAACTTCCTTCTCTCCCTTTTGTCTCTCCTGGAATTTCGGTTAATTAATCCAGGAACGTTGTGAAGCCTTTTTTTTTTTTTTTTTTTTTTTTTTTTGCGGTACACGGGCCACTCACTGCTGTGGCCTCTCCCGTTGCGGAGCACAGGCTCTGGACGTGCAGGCTCCGACGTGCAGGCTCAGCGGCCATAGCTCACGGGCCCAGCTGCTCCGCAGCATGTGGGATCCTCCCGTAACGGGGCACGAACCCGCGTCGCCTGCATCGGCAGGCGGACTCTCAACCACCGTGCCACCAGGGAATCCCTTAAAGCCCATTTTTAAAGTATACAAATAAAGCTCCAAATGCTAATTCTTTTACATCTCACAATCAATTTTATTTTATATGTAATTATTTTTGCAAGTGTTTCCTTTCTTCTGAGAAGTTAAAATAGTCTTCAAAAATATTTAAAAGTTCCTGCTACTCTCAATAGAAAAAATATTAGCCAAATAAACCTCAAGAGAGAAGGAAAAGAAGACTTCTTGCAGACTTATTCAAATGAATGGCAGGAGTTGTAAGGTGATATGGTATAAGATATCACTGATTAGAAATGTAGCTTAAAATATCAGCTCTCTGTAGCGATGCTTGAATCACATATTGTTCTCTGAAAAATACTTGTGCAACTTCACAGCCTTATCTATAGCAAGCTCTCTAGAGTTTTCTAGCAGTAAATGCTGAAAACTATCCAAATACCTTGATTAAATATCCAATATAGTTGCCTAATGTTAATGCAACTGAGAAATGGAATGTTATAACTCCTTCCGTCCCTCACTTGTTTTTAGGATGCTAATACTCAGTTGTCAACCACATTACACCTTTTTTACCTATTTCTAAATAATCTCAAGTCTCTGTTACTAACTGTTGCTATATTATAATAGTAATTACTAACAAGGACTACAGTTTGAGCATTTGCTATGCACTTGACACTATGCCGAATACCTTGCATGAATCATTTCCTTTAATTCTCAGAACAACATTATGGAGTAAATAATATTACTCTACTCCCCTTTTACACATGGGGAAACTGTGGTTAAGTGCCTCTCCCAAATTCACATTGCCTAGAAGAGTCCAGACAGTCTGATCTCACAGCCTATTATACTTGTGAGTGGCATGATAGAGAGAACAAAGTCTTTCATGGCTACCACCTGTAGCAAAAGAAAACTATTATTCTATTATAATACTTTGGGGACACTGGATACAGGTATCATATAAATGTAAATAAGAGAATCTGATTTTTAGTGTACTCTATATAATGCATTTTTAAAACAAAAGCAATAAAGGTGGTTCTTATGAAGAAAAGGGCAAATCCGCCATGTCTGAGTATGGAATGCTAAATATAATATTCAAGTCTAGGCTCTTGCTAAAGTTAGGATATCAAAGCTAAAAATAGAAATATTACACTCTCTATTTTGTCACCTCAAACTTTCTTTGAAGGTTGATACTCTTGATTTTAAGCTTCCCTTCCTTTTTTCCCTTACATTGTACTCTTAAAAAAAAACACACACAGCTTTATTGAAACATAATTCACACACCATAGAATTCACCCATCTAAAGAGTACTATTCAAAAGTTTTTAGGATATTCACAGAGTTGTGCAGCTATTACCATTATCTAATTTTAGAACATTTTTATCACCCCCAAAAGAAACCCATACTCATTAACTGTCACTCCCCCATTCCCTCCACCCCCCAGCCCTGGGCAACCACTAATCTATTTACTGTCTCATAGATTTGCTTATTCTGGACATTTCATAGAAATGGATTCATGTGGTCTTTTGTGACTGGCTTCTTTTCACTTAGTATAATGTTTTCTGACTTCATCCATGTTGTTGCATGTATCAGTACTTCATTCCTTTTTGTGAATAAATAATATTCCATTGTAGAGATAGACTGCATTTTATTTATACATTCACCGGTTGATAGACATCTGGGTACTTCTGCTTTTTGGCTATTATGAATAATGCTGTTATGAATATCTGTTTGCAGAACTTGTATGGACATATGCTTTCATTTCTTTTGGATATATATCTAGGAATGGAATTGCTGGGTCATATGGTAACTCTCTTTAACATTTTTAGGAGCCAGACTGTTTTCCAAAGAGTGTGCACCATTTTACAATCCCACCAACAATTATGAGGGTTCCAAATTCTCCATATCCTGTGTGTTTGTCTTTTGATTATAGCCATCCTAGTGGGTGTGAAGTGGTATCTATCTCATTGTAGCTTTTATTTGTATCTCCCTAATGGCTAATGATGTTGAGCATCTTATTGGCCATTTGTATATCTTCTTTGGAGAAGGTCTATTTAGATCTTTGCTATTTTCTAACTAGTATATTTATTTTTTAATTATTGAGTTATAAGAATTCTTCATATATTCTAGATCAAGGGCCTTATCAGTTATATGATTTACATATTTTGTCCCAGTTCTATGGGCTGACTTTTCACTTTCTCGGTGGTATCCTTTGTAGCATAAAACCTTTTTAATTTGATGTGGTCTTTTGTGATGAAGTCCAATTTATCTATTTTTCTTTGGTCACTTGTGCTTTTGTTGTCATATCTAACAAGGCTTTGCCTAACCCAAAATCACAAAGATTTACTCCTATGTTTTCTTCTAAAAGTTTTATAGATTTTTAAAATAGTATTGGCTCTTACATTTAGGCCTATAATCCATTTAAAACTAATTTTTTTGTTCCATGTATTCCCCTTCCTTTTAATTTAAATTAAT